TTTGTTGTGGCAACTTCTAATGAAATGCTGTTAAACCAACAAACTATATTGAGTTAAGAGAATCAGTCTTTAATCTGGAAGAAAAAAGTATTTTTTAATACAACTCGCTTGTTATTTGGGAGCATAACGTGTTTTTAAATTGTTTATGCATAAAAATTAAATTGTTCCAACCGGTATTTCCAGAATATTTTAGTGTGTAGTCGTGTTTTGTACTTAATTACTTTATTTGCAAACACAAATTGTTAAGTTGACTAATTTAAAAAACTAATTAAGTTGCTCCAGTGTTGGACAGTCAGAGGAGAGAAGCTGAAATCCTGAAGTCAAGTTGATGAAAAATGAATCCAGTTTTATTAAATTACTTCAACTTGAATGTAGTTTGAAATCAACTAACGCAGAAATTTGACTTAAAATTACTCAGAATATGAAGTTAATGCAACGTTATCATCAAACTAGTGTTTGTAACGTGAACATTTTATCCAAACCAGTAAATTAGATTCTTATTTTTATTATCTTGCATTTAATTAAGTCCCTTGAATTAGTTTTTCAGGAGTCTATAATGAAGGAAAAAATGCTAATAGAGGCAGATTCTGAGAATTATTAATCAGTTTGGCTCATTTTTAGCTTCTTTTCTGGAAAAATAAACCCACTGAACACCAACAACCATCCAGCAGACAGACGCTATGCGTTTGGTCAAAACCTACAAAGTGAATATTGGATTTACATTAACTGACCTGCAGCACAGCTCCTGATGGATGCTAATGCTGCTGAGCATCGTACGATGTTTACAGGCTAAAATATAATAATAATAATGAAGTACTGAGAAAATACAGACAAATTTTAATAGTAGGCTCCAGTTTTTCCCCAAAAAATATGATTTAAAGCTCTTAAATTAGATGCATTTTGGAGCTTAAAACAAGAATTGACGCTAAAACTGACTGTATGATCTGAACAGAAGACGTTCACACAAGAATTAATAACAATTCATTAAAAGCAAAAAGTTTATCTCGACATTAAAATTAATTTTCAAACATATATTTATTCTTTGACTTTATCCGTAAAGGTTTTTTTACATTTTTAAAAGTTGAAATATCAATTATGCATCATATATAATAAAGACATCATTATTTATGGTTCATTTTCAAAGAAGATCATGTTGTAATTTACAGTTTTTAAACTCAGTATGAACCAGTGAACCTCATGTTCTGCTGCAGAGTTGTGAACTAATGAACTGTTTACACACATTTCACAGCAAAACTTGTCAGGTTCTGTCAACAAAAACATATCAGAATATTCAGCGGTGATTTTGGACAAAAACTTTCTCAGAGTGTTCCAGGATTCCAGTTTTCATATTCTTTAGCTGTAACACCAACACACCTGTTCCTCCCTGACCATGAGCTGCCCGTATGGAGAACTCGGAGGCTGCTTCCTGCTGTGATTGACGGCTGAGTCATTGTGAAAAATTGCCAGAGATGCTCTTATTGCAGGCTGGATGTGGGGTCAGTGGATGAAGCAGTGAGGGCTGCTGGTGGTGGTGGTGGTGGTGGAGGAGGGGGGATGCTGAGCCCGGGCTCTGTCTCCGGCCCGTATGCTGGGAGCGCCGCTCTTCACTTAGAGATATGACTTGGGTGGACAGAAAGCTCTCCGGACGTCACTTTGACTGGCGTTTGCAGACCCGCGGCGAGTCCATGAAGTGTGCTGCGGACGTGGCTAACCCACTTTATAAATGAGCTGTTATGCAAGCTCATAAGGCTCGGCGGGCCGGACGCTGCTGCCCAGGAACATGCTCACTGTGCAGAAAACACCAGCGCTCTGACGAGGAGGCAGCACTGCAGCTCGCTGGCCCGCCGGCCCGCCATCAGCCTGCAACACAAAGACAGTGAGGTTTATCTTATTGTGAGTGAGGATATTTCCTGAGCAGCACAAACACGTATTGATCGGACCGACCGGCCCGTCACACTTTCAGCTGAAGCCCTGAATGGCTGAAGGTTTTCTGCTCACCTCCATGTCAACATGTGCTCGCTGCTCCTAAAAGTTTGGCTCCTAAACTACAAATTCTACGATTTAATTCAGCTTTCATCCAAAGAGACGTACGTCTGAGAGCAGATACAACACAAGCAAGGAACTAGTCAGGAGAAAACAACCTAGAGAAGAGCCAGAGAACAAACTAACGATGTGGAGTTTAAAACGAGTTCTGGTTCAGATTAAATGACGTTACAGGAGCTACAGTAATGAGTTCTCCAACAAGTTTTAACTGCGCCTTTCTAAACAATTTACTGTTGTTTTACTGGTTTCTGTCTTTTTTTATATGTATTTATTAAATTGCAGCTAATACCAAGCAAAATTATATATATACTGTTAAAAAGATATGTTTAGCTTCAGTCATGTCCAAATTAAAAAATATTATTTTAAGAAATATATATATACACAATGTTAAACAATAAAATGTTGCATTTCTATGGCATTTTAATCAGCAAAGATATCATTGTTTTACAAATATTTTCCATTTTTTAAATAGAAAAAAGTACATTAAAGATTGAAAAATGAAATGATTATATATTGATAGTTTAAATAAACTGGTATCGTCCTGATTTCTGCAGTTTTGGTAAATTACAGATAATATCGAGTAAAATCTGAGTAAAAAAAAGTATTAATTTACATGTTGACTATAAATTTAAAATACAGGCCCAAAAAAAAGCCCCTCCTGTGAATAATGTCCACAAATCCAAAAATCTGTATTTCTGGTAAAGAATATTTGATCTTTTACAATGTGTGACAACAAAAGAAGAGTTTTACTCTTTTAAATCCACCAAAACAATTTTTAAAAATGCTATTTTCACTTTTTAAAGGATTATTTTGAAGCACATAAAATGTGTGTGTAGCTGTAATCAACATACTTTTAATTAAAACTGAACATTTTTGCAGTCGTGGCTCCAGAAAATGTCTTTAAAATACCAGAAAGTAGCCTTTTAATAAAAAAATACAGGAATAATTCATAATTAAAAATTCAGTTTCTGGGCAGTAAAGGATATTTAC